CGTGTCACGGGGTAGCGCAAGGTACCTATCTCGTCCATAGCTCATACAGTAGCGGTCAAAAGTGTTCGCCGAAACGATTTTTAGTGCATTATTTTTTCTCGCTTGAGCAACGCCCTCCAAAGATTGATATACTATGTTTTCTAGTGTTTTTATATCCTCAAGTCTTAAAGAATCAGGATATTCAAAAGAAAAAATTTCGAGGTCACCATTGATTTTTTTTTCTGGCAAAAAAAGAGAAGCACGAAAAACCGTTTCGGCGAACACTTTTGACCGCTACTGTATCAACCGAAATTGCTCATTTTGTGAAGCCTTATCGACGCACTTTCGCTGTCATCTACAAAGTGTTGCCTATGCATGGAATTGTGGTCCCGTTTTTTTTCTGAATTTCCATGAGCTTTTCAACGGAGAAAGACCGGTAGTCGGGTTTGACGTGGTGTTACCTAGGGCAAAACTTCTTCCTGAGGAAGAGCGCTGGATCTCAAGCCATGCCGTCCTTAGCTGGCATCGGATGGGGCAGAGCTGAAAAACTGCTAGCGTGAGAGTCTCCAATTTTTATGAATATTTCACAGATGGGATCGAATGACCTCAGAAAAAAAAACAGACTTTAACTTGCTTGACTTCATATTGAACGCGTCGCCTTTATGCTAGCGACGTTGGCCTTCTTCACTGACCCTAGCAACTAGCGGTTCCCAGCGAAAAGTCTCTTCGTGTTCCAACCACATCTTAAAAGTGCCGGGATTAGTAGGTTGCCTTGTGAATTTGCTAACACACTCCACCCAGTCCACAACACTGGTGAATATGCGGATGATCACTGAAAGGAACTCTGGGAAACCAGAAGGAACATGACGATGTCAGATCGTGTTGAGGAGCTGATTCGGGCTCAAAGCATGTGAGATGCTAACTCCATATTTCCAAATCTTTATGAGCCTACAGCATTCCATCACATTAGCAAGTCGGATATGCTCTGACAAACAGCGGCTAGTTTGTCCACATCCAATCTCAGGGGCGCTGGTTAGAGCCGAGGGGTAGTTGGAGTGTGGGTCATCTTCAAACAAAAAGCCAACCCCGGATAGAGTGAACCACAAGTGCACCGTGGATTGAGGGAGCGTGCCCTCGCCTATCTGCTGGTTGATTCTCTATGTTGTTGGGCGTTTGAAAGATCCTAATCAGAAGTGATGAAGAAGGAAGCTCAAAAATAGGTTCTAGAAAAATTGAAGTATAGCCAAGGAAGGCAGCGTGTAAATGGGCTGTCTAATTGCTCAGGTAGGATAATGTGGGTGCTACTTCATGTTCAAGTTCACCCCTTTAGCATAACCCTTAGAATTTTCATAACAATAAATGTAAAGCTACTTACTATTTATGGGGTAACCTGATACTTACTGCTATTTATTGCCCTATAAGTTGATAGAAGTCAGGTGAATTATTAATTTGTTGTTATTTGCTCTTCCAGTGGAAAAAGTGAAAAATTCCGAAAAATTCGATTACCAGAAGCGCGTGATTGCCCATCCTTATCTTGTGAAAAAAACATACCCGAAATATCATCGTACAATTTACTTTTTGATGTTGTTTAATTTGTTGATTATTTCCCAAGTATGAGTTAAAAATAAGCAGGAAGTCGACCAACATCCTGACTGATCTCCGGTCGTAGTCGTTAGTCTATAGCGGCCGCTGAAGTTTAAATGACGCATAAGGCAAAACATTGAACGTGGAATTTTTGGTCAAAGATTTCCGTCGGTGGGCGAACGAGGTCGCAGGTGCTCAAACATGGTTCTGATACTGTATTTAAGCAGATGAGGAAGTGCCATGGACACGTAAAATGCAAGTCTTGGTCCTTGCCTTTCTAGCGGCGGCCGCCTGGTAACTTTCGAATAATCCTTGTTGATTATTTACCCGATATTTTTCAACGCATTATATATCTGATATTGTTTTACAGGGCGGATCTCCTGGAAGATACAGTTGTTCAGGCAATCGCTACCGCTCGAGTAAATATAGCAGAGCGTGATAAGGATGCGCCCATCGTTGTTGGTAGGTTGCTTAAAAGTCGAAGTTCGGGCTCAGACCCACTTAATGAGCCTTTACGGTGGCTAGAAGCGCTAGGCACGCAAGTGTATGGGTCGCGTCACTTCCCTACTTCGAAAACCGTTATTTAGACGCTAGGCTCTAAGAACTTTGACACGCTCCACCTGCTGCGACACGCTCCGCCCACCGCTCGATATCTTGACTGCGTCGGAATGTTGATCTGCTATGCTCTCTCTACTTAGACTTCTCTAGCGCTCTCCGCGCTCACATTATCTCTCATCTCCCTGCCGGCCTTTTGAACTTCTCCGCACCGTAGAGGAAATGGCTCGTATTTCCTAAGCATTTCACGATTTCTTTTTCTCTTTTCTGCACTGGCGGTCCACTACCTACCCCTACTTTCACATTTAAGTGGAATTAACTCATAATTCAATCCTGAATCTTGCCTTTAAAGTTCTCCTAAACTATGCAGTAGAAAGGGTCGTATAATGACACGTCTTTACCCCATTCTTGTCTCAAAATATCAGTTAGTTTTTCAGGTTCCATTATTGAAACTCAGAAAGCAAATCCGGAGTCTGAACTAGAGCAACTCAAAGGAGATCTTCTGTCAGAGGTGACCAAGGTAAGCTCATCAAAATTCTTCACATAACGGTGTCAACAGCTGATCTGAGCAAGCCAAATGGAGAAAGGGTAGAGGAGTTCGTAAGAAGTTTGAAATTGGCTGTACGCCATGGCTGGCGCTGCATGCATAGTTTTGCGCTTCAGCTCCTACTTCGGTGACTATTAATCACAAATATTGCAGATCGTGGTGGAAAAGCTCGGCGTTGAGGTACTCGACGAACTCAGTGAGCTCAACATTGATGATCTTCTGACGAATCGGCTGTGGCACGCAAAAAGCGTGGAATTTCGGGATGTGGAACGACAGACTGCGGTAATCCAAACAGGTGCTGCTAAATGAATTTAGTACTGTTAAATAATACTAGTGGGAATAAAGGTGAATAAGCAACAGTTTTGTACGACAGTTGGATAAGAACGTTCACGGCAAGGGGGGCGCGAGGTGGCCAACAACCGCTCGTGCCAGGGTCAACTATGATGAGAGGCCAGTTTCACCGAAGCGAACTCACTCCCTGCACTCTCGACCTCGCATAGGTGGATGGTGTCGGTAATTTCGTTGAACCTGCTTTGTATGTACATCGCTCGAGAAACTGAGACCCGTCGAGCTGACATAATAAACCGTTGAAGCGGTTCATTTAAATTCCGCCGAAAATTTCTCATCCCATCGGAGGATTCCGAAGTTCCTCCTCCCATGTTTCACATACTTCACAAAACAACGACCGCCTTTGCTCAATTCACTCTCTGAGAGAAACGGTCGGACGGTTGATTCAAGTATATGGGCCTACGTCTTAGATGTGGCTTTTCTTTTACTGTGTATTCAAGGCTTTTTCAGAGAAACCCGCCTATACGTTGAAAACTCGGAGGATCATGGACCCCTCTTATTCGTCTCCTTGCTAGCACCACCGTCAGTAAATTCACGATTATGCACAAATGCAAAATCACGCGAACAGATGGAAGCCCACCACTTACTTTACTGGAATGCAGTCGTCACTTGTGGTGTGTGGACCTGAAACCCGGTTGCTGAAGACGCGAGTGCTCGGGGTCTTGGATATCCGTTTTCTCAGAGGGAAATGCAAATACGAGAAGAGCGTCGGGTTCAGGCCACACACCACAAGTGACGACTGCATCCAAGTAAACTGGTGGCTCATAGTGATAGCTGATTTTTGGTAAATAGAGCCTTTTGGTTCGTATTCAGCGCCAACTGAATACAGCCGCAACAGGCTTATCAATCTCATTTGTCAGAACTCTTGTGAGGCCGTCGTACTTCTGGGCATTGATCTGCACAACGACGCCTTCTCATATCTTGAAAGGAGGGTACATAGGTCACCTGAACCCCGAACAACAACCGCAGCTCACTGCTGGTCCCAACAAAGCTCGTTAAGGGAGTGGGGGAGAGCAAAGACTCAGCCTTCTTTCGAATTCGTAGTTGCTTTCAGATGCGGCTTAATTCGATTCACTTTTTTCAAATGATACATCTTTCCATTTAGCAACAAAATTCGATCAATAACCGGTAAATGCAATAATGTGAAGGATCCGATGCAAGGAGCTGCAGTGACGCCTGTTCGCCGACTTCTTGGAAAAGCCAGCTATGCTGATGGTGGGTCATCCAAAAGGTGTCGTAAAAGGAATACACAGTGGAGGTTTCGACATGAATCCACCTCTTATGGGGTTGCGCCATGCATTCCACTCTAAATCGGATTCATAGCGACATTTGAATGTGATATGGTTCACACAGTGAACTGCTTTGGTCTGTCATATATATGTACTGTAAGAAGTGAGTTTCAAACTCGAAAGTATAGAAAGCCTTGGCCTAGGCAAAAAAGATTACAGATTGGACTCACCAATCTGTAATTTCTTGACAGCGCCATGATGACCCTGTCCTTGTCTATCTTTGTAAATAAGGATTGGTGAGGAACCCTCTTCATTCAATAATAGATGTAATTGTATAAAAAGGCAAAGTTCGGGCTCAGACCACCTAGTAAGCCCTAAAAGTGGCTAGAAGTGCATGGACGCAGCTGCAGGTGACTTGCAGGCAATCGTTAACTTCCCGCATAGAAATGCGTCACTAAGGCGCTAGGGGCCAAGGACTTTGACACGCTCCACCTGTTGCGACACGCTCCGCCCACCGCTCGATATTTTGTCTGCGTCGCAATGCTGCTATGCTCTCTCTTCTCGGACTTCTCTACCGCTCTCCGCGCTCACATTATCTCTCATCTCCCTGCCGGCCTTTTGAACTTCTCCGCAGCGTAGAGCAAAAGGCTCGTATTTCCTGTGTATTTCAGGATTTTTTTCCTTTTTTCTCCACTGGCGGTCCACCTCCCACCCCTACTTTCACATTTGAGTAGAATTACCTCATCAGTTTAATCCTGAATCTTGCCTTTAAAGAACTGAGAAAAATGTGAATATGGAGTGCATGATGGAATCGTGCACTATGTCTCTCCTAAAGTTCGTGAATCATTATAGGTTTCAATGCTATGCGAACCAAAGGCGTTAAAGGAACCGCTCTTCCATCGACCAGGGAAATTTCGAATAAGCTTCATCAAGAGGTACGATGTAATTCATAAATTTTGTAGATACATGAAGTGTTTTCATGGAGGCTTTCATCAGGCACCGGGGCTCTTTATAGAGACCGGTGAATTTCGACTGCTTTTTGTCATTTCACAGAACTCCATTGTTAGCTTCAAAAGAGAACCTAAATGATGATTTTCCAGGGAGCCAACCCTGCGTTTGACTACTCCAAAAATCATTTCTTCATGCAATTTGGTCAATGGGTCGCTCACGATATCATTTTCATGCCCTCGTCTGTCGGTCAGTTGATTGAATGGCTTCCTATCTTGATATGCTAACAATCTCGAACTGTCACGGAATTTGACTACAGTAGCCTCACTGTGGCATTCATTTCCGAGTTTCTAGGTCCACTCGGCAAAGCTCTGGACTGCTCGTCGTGTAATTCACCATCATTGAGCGAGAATTGCGCTCCGATCCCAGTGCCCGCTGATGATCCCTATTTCAAGCCTATTGCTGGTGAAAGGTAATTCAATTGGTTTATTTCAGAAGTGGCACTAATCGGAAGATAAATGATGAACATGGCCTCCAAAAATCAAAATAATCTGCAAAAATCTGGGAAGCTCTTGTACGTTGAGAGTTTATGCATTAGGGAGGAAAACGGATTCTTATTCGATGGTTTTGAGGCTATCTTGAAGCAACAGTACAGCAGGGTTTTGATCATTCGATTCTAATTGAGTGGAAAGATGCACTAGCCCTAGTCAAGATACATAAGAAGTGTCACTGAACTAAAAACTCACCTTGGAAAGCTGCTAGAAAGGGGGGCAACTGGGCTTCCGGTGTGAATTTCTTGCTGGCACGACCCAGCAAGAAGTGCATGCCAATTCAGACAACTCGTCCGACCGCATCTCCCCTTATTCCAAAGAGGAAGAGGGGAAACCCCTCC